AAAAAAAAAAAAAAAAAAAAAAAAAAAAAAAAAAAAAAAAAAAAAACCAAAAACAAAACAAAAAAAAACCCCAACTTTTCAAGAGGAAAACTGGTAACGGGATAGTTTTTAACCCCAGGAAATGAGTAATGCCCAAGACATTTACACAATGTTTGTGCAAAGCTGTTGAGGCCCGGACAGCAAAATTAATCTTCGGGTTTCCGCCCAGGGACAAAGGAATATTTTCCCTGGGGCTCATGGGTGCCCCCTCCTGTCCTCAGGGTGCTATAGCCTCTCTACAGCTCCGGGGTGCTCCTTCCCCGGGGGTCCCGTCGCCCGAACACGGCGGCGCCCTGCTGGGCACCGTCCCCGAGGCCGAGGCGCAGGCCCGCGGGGCGGGAGCCGGGCAGCCGCGCCGCGGTCGGGCTGGCTCAGCCTCCGAGTCGCGGCAGGACGCGCAGGGCGCAGCCGCCGGGGACGCAGCGTCCCGGCCGTGTGCGGCGCCGCGAGTGTCGCGCGGGTTCCACCGCGCAGGTCACCTACCGGTCCAGCCCTCAGAGGCTCAGGTCTCGGGTCTCCAGGGCTTCACTCTGGGTCTACACGGGCACGACGCAGGCGCACGGAAAGGGCTGCGGACCGCTCTAGAGGCTCAGATCCTGGGCCTCTGATGGCCTCCTTCTGAGGACTCCGGTTCTGCACAGGAAGGACGCACAGAAAACGAAAGCTAGCGAGCAGACGTGGCAGCAGGCGCGGCTTCTCTGACCTCCCGCCCGCAGCCTGGGCCGGGCCTGAAGGAACATTTTGGCAAAGTTAGATACAGACAGTTGTGAGCCACCATGGGCGTAATGGAGACCGGGGCTCCCAGGCCCCTTCCTTGACTTTGTAACGACAATGGAAGGGCTTTGGCTGGATATGTATTTCGATTTTGTTTTACAGAGATGTTTAAAATGGAGAAAAGCACACACACAAAGAGCAAACATCTTTATTTCTCTCACTCTGGACTGAACATGTGTGCTTCCTTTCTCCTCCAGCGCGGTCGCCCCAGTGGGAGGGCACCGGTGGCCAGCAAGTCTCCTGGCCCCTTGCTCTGATCTTATTGCCTATTTCTTATTCCTGCGGTTCCCTCTTTACTCCCGGTAGTTTTTCTAGAGAGGAGCCTCCTTTTTAAATGGTTAGGATAATGACTGTTGGCTGATAACGTTACCTAGTGACTATAATCTCATAACTTGGGCGGTAGAGGCAGGAGGGTCGGTCAGGCGTTCAAAGCCAGTCTGGGCTACCTCGCAAGAGAGGGGACTGATTTTTAATAAGCCGGTCTGACTCGCCGACAGGTTTCAAAATTGGCTTCAAACTGAACAAGCCTGAGTTTCCTTTTCTCAGAAAACAGAACTGCAGTCTATTGAAACAAGATACAATAACTCAATAACCCTCCCCCCCGAAAATTAGAGACAATAATTTAGTGACCGCTTTGAAAAGTCCCCAAGCACTTAACCAAACAAAGGTTAGCTAGATATGCTTCGTTTAGCTAAGTCAAAATGATATTGTTACCTGGGCACACCTTGTTACCTAGGCACTACGCCAAGCCCCCTCATCCCCTAGATCAGCACCAACCAATCAATGAAAAGATTACCTAACCACACCAAGGAAATCCGGTCTTTACCTTGAGCCTGGGTGCGCACAGCATGCTGGCAATTTCTGCAGAATAAACACTCCTTGCTTTTGCATACTACCTGAGTCTGAGGTCTTCTTTCAAGGATTCCCCGACCTAACTCAAGTTCAAGGCCAGCCTGTGCTGTATGAGTCTGTTTATAAAACAAAGACATTGACTAGTAAATCGTCTTTCTTTAGATTTAAAGAACCTAGAGTGTCTGATAACCTTCATATAACATCAGCATCTTACCTCCTTTTATTTATGATTTTTAATTTAAATTTTTGTATAGTGTACTTTGATTATATTCTTCCCCCTCACCAAATTCTTCCCTATATCCCTACTCACCCAACTTCATGTTTTTCTCTCTCCCTCCCCAAATGATCCCCAAATCAAAAAAATTAAAAATCAAAACAAAAACTAATAAGAAAAAAAAATACCAAAATCAAAACAAAACACACACACACACACACACACAAACGCAAGTAGATTCTGTTTTGTGTTGGTCAGTTACTCCCTCACGTGGGGCCTTGACCTGAAATGTAGTTAATATACCCAGTGACACTCCCCTGGAGAAAACTAATAATTCCTTTCCCAGCAGGTATCACTTGCACATAGCTTCTTGGCTAGGGGTGGGAGTTTGTGTCTACTTGTTCTTCTCAGTGCTGGGATTTTGTCTGTTTTAAGCCTCAGCAGGTCTTGTGCCTACTGACAGAGCCTCCATGAATTCATGTGTGTATCAGTCCTGTTGGGTCTTGGAGAATTTCCTTGGAGTTATCCACTATCTCTGTCTCTTACAAGTTTTCCACCTTCTCTTGTGCGTAGATCCCTGAGCCTTGAGGGGAGGGGTGTGATAAACACATCCCATTTAGGGTTAGGGTGGAGTGCTCCAAAATTTCTTACTCTCCACACGCTGTCCACTGCAAGAAGAAGCTTCTGTGGTGAGGGCTGAGTGATGCTCTGTTCTGAGGGTAAGGGAGCATGTTACTGAAAGTCATTTTATTGCTTTGTTCTTTTAGTAGAAAAACAGCAGTAGGTTTTTTCTGAGGGTCCATGACCTATCTAGCCTCAGGTTCTTGACCACTTTAGCAGTGTCACGTATGGGCTGCATCTCTTGGAGTGGGTCTTCAATCTGATTTTTTGAAGTGATTAATTGCTCCTATAACGCTTGTACCACCATTGCACCCGTAGGCAGGTTATAGGTTGGAAAGGTCTGTAGCTGGGTAATACTAATATTAATTAATTTTCTCTTCCCCAGGTTCCCTCCATTGCCCTGCCTTTCCACCTCCTCTTCCTCTACTCCTACTACTCAAATGTCTCCTCTGTCTCTTTACATCACTATATTCTAGCTCTGCCTCCTTGGAAGATCCCCCTCCCTGCCCAGTCCCTTACTAGCTATGTAACCTCTGTGGTTATTTGAACTAAACACACATGTATAAAGATTAAAGGCGAACATCTATATAGAAGAAAAAAACATGCAATATTCATCTTTGGGGGTCTGGGTTACCTTACTCAGGATAATTGTTTCTAGCTCATCCATTTATCTGCAAATTTTATAATTACATTTTTTTTCTAACAGCTAAAAAATATTCCATTGTGTAAATGCACCATATTTTATTATCCATTCAACAGATGATGGACATCTAGTCTCTTTCCAATTTCTGGCTCAGTGTCAGTATCTTTATGAATATTATTTATATTTCATAATTTTTTAAAAGTTAGATTTTTAAAATTTAAAATAAGAATTCAGCCTAAGATTGAAAGTCAATTCTTTCGACTGAAAAGACAGACAATAGGGGCTAGAGAGATGGCTCAGTAGTTAGAACTATTTGCTTCGAGAGGACCAGATTTCAGTTCCCAGACACATCATGAAGCTAATAGTTTCCAGTAACTTCAGCTCTGGGGAATCTGACACCATCTTCTGGCCCCTCTCAGCAGCAGCATATCCGTGGCATATATTCACAAACACACACACACATACACACACACACACACACACACTCACTCACAAGCATACATGCATGCACACACACAGATAAATAAAAATAAATCTTTTAAAAAGGAGATGGAAAATAGAAGGAAACTTCCAGAAAGTTAGAATAAGAAGTTAAAAATAGTAGAAATCCAGAGGAGGAAAAAAATAAATAAGGAAATTCAGAAAATACAACATTCAAAAGCAGAAAAAAATATTACATTTACCTATTTCATAACTATACATGTTTGTGTGGCCATTGGCATACCTGTGTGTATAGGTCAGAAGACAACTTTGGACAACTTACAGGTGTTGGTTTTCTCCTTCTGCAAACTTCTTGAGTTTGAGAACCAAACTCAAGTCATTAGGTTTAGTAGCAAGTGCCTTTATCTGCTGAGCCATCCCACTGGCCCAACAAGGGGAAAAGGAAAATTTAAACACACAAGAAAAAATGGAAGAGACAAATCACCAACTAAATAGGCAGGGGAAAAAAAGGGGGAAAATATATTTCAGATTGAGCCCTGAGTGCCCAACAGTGTGATGGCAAATCCTAGAGCAAAAGAACACATTGCAAGGTTTGAGAACGTTAAAGACGAAGCGAGGCGGGCAACACACTTCCAGAGAAGAGTGGGGGTGAGTCTACACAGATAAACAAAGCAAACAGAATCACAATGACCTTGATGACTCAACAGCAACACCAACGAACAAGAGTGGCTTGAGTGCTTTCACATTCTGAATGAAGCAGGTTTCCAACGTCTAATGTCTTAGAGCCGAAAGAGCAACTTGAGGGTAAAGAGGCTTTTACAAACTGAACGAGGCACCTGTTGCTCAGGCAACCTGGCAGATTGAACCAGGAGGATAATTTGCCACCAGGGATCCTAAACCAGCCTGGGCAGCACAGTGAGCCCCACCTCAAAACAAACAAGACAGCCTAGCAAGTAAACACGTCAAAGACCAAATAAAGGCACGGACAACCCACATGTTCCCACCTGTGCCCAGGAATCTGCTAGGATTTGGATGAGCCACATTGAACAAATAAACCAAGAAAGAGAAGAACAGAGGGTTTATGTGTGCAGGCCAAAGGACATTTGGGGGGGTCCCAGGGATCAGAATTAGTCAATCAACCAGGCATGGTAGCGCATGCCTTTAATCCCAGCATTCAGGAGGCAGAGACAGATGGGTCTCTGGGTTTGAGGCCAGCCTGGTCTACAGAGTGCATTTCAGGATGGCCAGGACTGTTACACAGAAAAACCTTGTCTCGAACCCCCGGATGCCCCCAAAATATTGCTCAATCAAACTTGACGGCAACCGCCTACACCTACTGAACTATCTTACCAGCCCTAAAACTATTTTAATTGATATGTGCTAATTAATTATACAGAGTTGAGGCACACATGTGCACAGTGCGAAATGATCAATTCAGGGCAATTGGGAAAATCCATCACCTAAAAATTTACCTTTAAAATTACAAGAGCACAAATTTCTACCTTTTGATGACCTATCTTTCCGTTTTGTCTTTTTATTTTTATTTTATGTGCATTGGTGTTTTGCCTGCATGTATGTCTGTGTGAGGGTATCAGATGTTGGAGTTACAGACAGAGATGTGGGTTGCCCTGCCATGTGGGTGCTAGGAATTGAACCTGGATCCTCTGGAAGAGCAGTCAGCGCTCAGCCCTGCCCACCCCCCGTCTTGCTTTCTATTACTGTGATAAAGAACATGGCCAAAAGTAATTGGCAGGAGGAAAGGCTTTGTTTTCCCTTACAGCTGCCAGGTCACAGTCCCTCAACAGGGGACATCAGGGCAGGAACTCAGGGAAGGAGCCTGGAGGTGGGAACTGAAGCAGGAGCCTCCGAGGAGGAGGAGCGCTGTTTGCTGACTTGCTCCCCATGGCTTGTTTGGCCTGCTTTCTTGTAGCACTCAGAGCACTTCCCCATGGGTGGCCCTGCCCGCAGGGAGCTGGGCCCTCCCATCAATACATTAGTCAAGTCATTAATCAAGAAAATGCTCCACAGCTTTGCCTACTGGCCAATCTTGTGGAGACATTTTCTCCATTGAAGTTCCCCTTCCGAGATGACCTTGGCTTGAGTCAGTCAAGCTGACAAAAAAACAAACAAAAAAAAAAAACAAACTAACCAGCACATCTGACTGTTTGAAATAGATCATGAAATATTGTTAGATGTGGACATCCCACTGTGCCATGGAGTATCCTAACTTATTCCTCTCATCTAAGTATATTTTTGCAACCATAATCACCTTTCTAATCCCTCACCTTCCTCATACATAAATTATTGTTTATTTTTATTTTTAAGTTTTAGGGTTCTCATTCATGCCAGGCAAGTGTTCTATCATCAAGCCATACTCCTAGCCTCTAGTCACAATTTTTAGGAGTTTATCCCCTACTTCCTTTCCTGTTTGCATTCATTACAACACAATCCTAAAGCCATTTAGTGGGGCCCAAGGGACATGAGGCTGAGCGGCTGTGTGTGGGGTGCTGTGTGGTGTGAAGACACTCACGGAGGACAGGCCGCGGCAGTGACACTGGGCAATTGGCTACATACGAGGCTTGCTCAGGGAAGTTGTTCTCTCACTGGAAGAGGGGAATTGGAGAAATGCAAAAGAATAAAAACATCATAAACTCTGAGCTTCTGTGTTTCAATGAGAATTGCTTGTTGGAACCTATAGATTTTCAGAAACACGGGCATATATAGAAATAAAAGAATACGGATGATTTTACACACACATACACACCTTGACTGTGTCCATTTCAGGACCTTGGAGCAGTTACTTACCTGCCTAAAACAATGAGCATACCCAGCATCTGAATTGTGGCTTCTAAATACCAAATGCTTAGTTAAATGGGATCAAGACTCCTGAAGAAAGAGCAAGTTGTTCATGGAGCAGTTGGAGATCCCGATCAAGGAAGTGCTCAACCAACCAAAGGAACCTGACGTCAACTTGAAAGGTTTTCTCTGGATCAACGAAGGATGAGTTAGATATCAAAAGCAGTATTGATGGACACGGATTTTCACTCATTAATTGAAGTATGAACTCATAAATCAATACCAGTGTATATGGGTGAAGGCATAAGCCAAATTGCCCCATCTTCAAGTCCTCACCCTGATGAAAGCTCCTGGAGGCTCCCAGGACATTGAGTGTGAGAAAACAGCCTATGAAAGATTCATTGGCTCAGGAAGGAGGCTTCCACTTTACAATCTGTTGGCCAGAGATTTACAATTGAAGAATGGAGAACTGCTATGTGGTTGGCAGCTGAGAGCAATATCAAGTTGAACCCATCACACAGCCTAACAGAAAATGCAGCAGGCTCTAGTCTAATGGCCTTTATGGAGTTTAAGATGGTTTTTGGAGCCTCAGGCACCCCTCCCTGGCTTATTTGAGAGACAGGGGCTGTGGTTGGGATAAACTTGGATGGATGGATACCCACGTCAGTGTCGTTAAGTTTTAGAACCAGAAGATGCTTCCAGTGGAGAACACTGTACTCTGAGTTTACATGCCCTCAGACCCAGCAGGGAGCAGACAGCGTTTACAGCGCGTGCTTGCTGGTTTCCTGTTAACTTAAGACAAGCTACAGTCACCTGAGAGAATGAACCTCGGCTGAGAAATCGACTTTATAAGATAGGGCTGTAGGGCATTTTCTTAGTTACTGGGGGAGGGCCCAGCCCACTGTGGGTCGTGCCAATCCTGAGTTGGTGGTCCCGGATGCTAAAAGAAAAACAGGTTGAGCAGCCTATGGTGAGGAAGTCAGTAGGCAGCACACCTCCATGGCCTCTGCTTCAGCCCCTGCCACCAGGTTCCCACCCAGTTTGAGTTGCTGCCTTGGCTTCCCTCAGTAGATTGTGATTTAGGATATGTAAGCCAAACATACCCTTTCCTCCTAGTTGCTTTTGATCGTGGTGTTTCATCACAGCGAGTAACCCTAACTAAGACACAGCTACATTGTCTGTTTTCCTGGACACCATGGAGCTTCTAATAAGCTGTCATAGTCAGGTTTTGGCAGCACTGAAATCACTAAAAGCATTTTTGGACGTTAAGGAATAAGTGGATGACATCTGGGTATTTCAGCCAGAAAAACTCAAAGTGCAACCTAAAGTGCAATAAGTGAAAAAATCGCATTAGGACATGAGGTGTCTGTGAGACAGAGGAAGACCCAGGCATGCTCCCCAGCTTCCTGAACGCAACCTTTTTGGAGCTGGCTGACCACATGGAAGAGACCCTTGAAATAAAATAATGTACGTTTGTAGGATGCAGAAAAAAGTTGACTACAGAAGTTGAAAGATGTTTTTAGGAAATGAATTTTAAGCTCACCGTCCTAGAAAGACCTGACTGTGCTCTGGCTTGCGGAGTTTGTCACACCTGTCTAGTCAGTGGTGCCATCCCTGGTAGACTTGTGATCTGCTGGTGTGGACAACCTTCCCACCTAATCTAGCAATGAGGGGAGTCTTCAATAGGCAGAGCTTCAACATCACATTGGTGATGTCCATGTTTTATGCCAACTACCTTGAAATGTCTTGGAGGACACCCTAAAGTCAGAATGTAACATTTCTGTGATGAGCTGGAAATTTAAAAAAAAAAAAAAAATCAAAAAGATTCGCAGTACCTTAGAAAATGTAAGGCTGGGGGTTGGAGAGATGGTTCCAAAGTTAAGATTGCTTGCTGCAGCTGGGCATGATGATGCATGCCTTTAATCCCAGCACTCTGGGAGGCAGAGGCAGGTGGATCGTTGTGAGTTCAAGGCCAGCCTGGTCTACAAAGTAAGTCCAGGATAGCCAAGGCTACACAGAGAACCCTGTTCTGAAAAACTAAAACATGCACCCCTAAAAATACATACATATACTTGTTAAATTTTGTAGTTACCCAAGTATTGTTTTAAGAACTCTGTAAGAATGAGAAACAAAACTTGATACACAAGAAAAAAAAAAAACATATATTAGTGAATGAATGGATTAGAAATTTGAGCTGGGTCTGGCGAGCACAGGCCTAACCTGGAATCCAGCTCCTTGGGAGGCTAAGGTTAAAACACATTTTTACCATAGGTTGTAAGAATAGAGGTTATTAGAGATGGATGTTCAGGGAACGAGTAAGACACACCCAAGTATGGATACGGGCTTCTCAAGGCACAGCTGTGCCTTATTGCCTTTCAGTGGATATATGTTCTGCTCCTTTCTAAGTTCACATATTTTACATTCCTATTTATTATTTTGTGTGTTCCTTGTGTGCCTTGGTTTGTGAAAAGCAGGGCACACATGTGGAGGTCAGAGGCCACCTTGATGGAGTGGCTTTTTTCTTTCCCGATTTTTTCCGAGTTCCAGCAATCCATCTTAAGTCAGCAGTCTTTTGGGTACAGGGAAAAAAAATGTGCTAGTTCTGCCATCTGGACCGGCCTTTAAATTTACATGTTTTAAAGTGTAACTTAGGACAGGGTTTAAAGGTTAAAGGCTCACTTTTAGCGTTTGTACTACCTTCACATGTGTGGCCACACATACCCTGACACACGTGTGTCCGTCAGAGGACAACTTGTAGAGCTGACTTTCTTCTTTACTTTCTGACCTCTTCCAACGCATGGGTTCCATGGATGGAGCTGAGGTGGTCAGCCTTGGCGGCAAGTACATTTACCTGCTCAGACATCTCCTTGCCCCAAACTTGCTTGCCTTTTTTTTTTTTTTTTTTAAGTAAGTCTAATTGTAAGATTTTTATTTTTTTATTTTTTACTATTTTTTTTTGGAGAGGTATGAGACAGAACAGCTACAACTCAAGGTCCTAAATAATTTTGTCCGTAATATCCTGTACCGACAGTGACCTGCTTGCAAGGTGTGCTAGTACAAGGCTGACATAACTGTCACGGCAATAACCAACCGCTTTTTTAAAACTCAGATTGAGGGGCTGGAGAGATGGCTCAGTGGTTAAGAGCACTGTTTGCTCTTCCAAAGGACCCAGGTTCAATTCCCAGCACCCGCATGGCAGCTCACAACTGTCTGTAACCCCAATTCCAAGGGATTTGACACCTTCACACTAATGCACATCAAATAAAATTAAATAAAATATTTAAAAATAAAATAAAATAAAACTCAGATTGAAGGCCCGCTCCATGAGATGACGCTGCTAAGGTGGCCAAGAACCTGAGGCAAGATAGGTTGCCAGGGCTGTTTTTCTACTAAAAGAACAAAGTAATAAAATGACTCCCAACGACATACCCCTATACCCACAGAACAGAGCATCACTCAGCCCTCACCACAGAGGCTTCTTCTTGTAGTGGACAGGAAGTAACAGAGGCCCACCACTGGACATCGAGAAGGGAAACGGGCACAAAGTCCCACCCCTAACAATTGCATGTGCAATTGATACCTCCTGGGAAAGGGAAAAAATCCGTTTTGTTTTTTTTTTTTCCCCCAGCGGAGTGTCACTTTGTAAATTAACCACATTCCAGAGCAGGCCCCATTACTAGGAGTAGTTGGCCAGACTTCAACAGACTACATTTTTTTTTGGGGGGGGGGTGATTTTAAAAAAAATGTGTAAGTTTTTTGTTTTGTTTTATTGGTTTTTTTTTTTTAAGTTTTTTATTTTACTTTATTTTTGAGAAAAAGAAAGTATCAAGTTGGGTAGATAAGGAGGTGAAATGGATCTAGAAGGAGGTGGAGGAGAAGAACAAATATGATTAAAATATATTTATAAAAAACTTTTTAGCTGGGCAGTGGCAGTACACACCTTTAACCACCACTCAGGAGGCAGAGGCAGGTGGATCTCTGAGCTCCAGACCAGCCTTGTCTACAGATCAAGTTCTAGAACAACCAGGGCTATACAGAGAAATATTGTCTCTACTCAAAAAGAAAATACAAAACAACTTCCCATTTTCTTTTTGTTTTTTCGAGACAGGGTTCCTTTGTATAGCCTTGGCTGTCCTGGAACTTACTCTGTTGACCAGGCTGGCCTTGAACTCAGATATCTGCCTGCCTCTGCCTTCCAAGTGCTGGGATTAAAGGCGTGTGCCACTCCCACCCAGCACATAAACATATGTTTAAAATTTTATTAATTCATGTTTTTTTTGAGACAGAGTCTCATGTAGCCTAAGTTGAAGTCAAGCAGTCAAGCCTTGAAGTCAAGGCTGCTTTTGAACTCCTGACCCTCCTGCCTTCACCTCTCAAGTTTAAGAATTATGGACACATGCCATTATGCCAGGATATAAAATATGAATATACAAACTTTAGCAAACAATTGTAAAAACTAAATTAAGGAAGCTCAAACAGATGTTGGGCAAGTTTATTTGAGTGGCTACCTTAATATAGCAGTGTGATGTTTGTTTGTTTGTTTATTGTTTTTTGTTGGGGTTTCCTAGCCCTAACAAGCACAGCTTATCCACTGAAGCCTCTCCTATCTTATTGAAACCGGTAATTGCTTCTGTGACCTTACTTCCTCCAGATACCCTCTCCCCACCTCTTGAATTATTCTTTTGAATTTTTTTGTTTGCCTTTTGAATGCTGGTTCTGTCCTTAACAGTTCTCGTTCATCAACCAGAATTTTATTCTTTTTTTAAAAATATACTTGATCTAGAATCTTGTCTTGTTTACATGTTTGTTCTTCATGTTGTTATATAACACTTCAGAGTCAATCAAATACATAATATCAATAGATTTCCTCAACTCTTTTTTGCTGTTGTTATTGTTTTTTGAGACAGGATCTCTTTGTCTAACCTTGGCTGTCCTGGACTCCCTTTGTAGACCAGGTTGTCCTCAAACTCACAGAGACCCACCTGTCTCTGCCTCCCTCAGTGCTGGGATTTGAGGTGTGCACCACAGGGCCTGGCTAGTTTCCTCAGTTCTTAAAGATTCACAGCCACAGTTCTAATCCTCTATAAGGCAGCTTCAGTATCCAAAAGAGCACAACACAGTAATTGTGGTATTAAATCCCATTTTTGTGCAAATCTAAAGAAAAGCAAACAAAGGAATATTATCAAACTACCCAAAATCAGTGCTGTCATTATTTTGTACGTATATTTTTCAACTCTTTAAATTTCTTTCTCAATACTGGGCAGTTTTAAAAACTATCAAAACCTGGACTTCACCCCCATGACTTGTTTTTACTGTCCCCAGGATTCTCATGTCGGCCAGAGTTGGAAATCATTTCTCTAACCGAGGAGTATCTAGTTAAGCAACAACAGGAGTAATTTAAAAGCACAGCAAGCACAGCATAGCACAGGAAAATTACAGGCACGAGGGGGGATAGATTTAGAAACCAAAAGGACGCGCTCTGCTTTTGAACAATTTTTGCCTCTTCTAAGGCTCAAATTCTTTGTTTCTGCAGCCATGCATTTTTGGCTGTGCATTTTTGGGTTTTGTACCCACAAAAGCCCTGCAGTTTTCTGTTAGCGTCCTGTCTCCTGAAGCACTAAGGAAGCATGACTATAGTCAAAGTCAGAGGAGAGAAAAACATCAGAGCCTGACGGCCACCAGCTGGTTCAACAACGTCACGAGCTTAGAGGGAGATGCTGACACAGATGGAGGGCAAAGGCAGAGTACAGAGACAGCATCTTTGTTTCATACTGTTTCTCTATGCTTGTGATGACCTCATTCCATTCTGCTGTTCCATTCTGCCAAAGTCAAGGCTTAGGCACCCTGCTCTCCATTCTTCTATTTGTGATATATATATACACAACACACATACACACACACACACACACACACACACACACACACACAATGCTGGGGAAGGAAATATAATGCCAAATGAGAAAAAGCTAGACACAAAGGCATATGCACTGCTTCAATGCCTAACACTAAAGTTAAAAATAGTGATGTTCCCTCCATGGTGCAGGCAGGAGCCCCAGGGGAGTGGCTCATGGACACATCCCCTCCTGGGACCTACAAAGCTACTTTTGTCTGAAGGCAGGCATATGATAAATGGTAGCTATTATGTCTTGGGCGTGTTAATGTGTGCTTTACATACAATTACTTTATGTAATCTGTACAAATTTGGTACCATTATTTCCAGCTTGCTAAGAAAAACCTGAAGGTCAGACAGGCTAGATAATAAAGCCATTATAGCGTAACGTCATGTGGGAACTGACAGACAGAATTGCCTTCCTCTAATAAAAGCAGACATTTAGTTCCCTGCCTCCTGCATCTTTCCCATCTGTGTCTCTACCAGTCCTCAGACATTGACTGTATATCCATCTGGGGACATTCCAGTCTCTAAGTCACACTCCATCCACATTCCCCAAGGAAGAGCTTATGCTTGAAATGCAGTCTGCCGTCGAGTTATAGGCTTGGGGAAGAGGTAGAGAGCTTAAGGGTCTTTGATCATAAGCTGCAGTTCTTGGGCACACAATTCTAGGGGGCAGCTTCTGTGTGGAATGTCCTCTGGGTCTCACAGACTGTCCTCACCTCTCACCAACTTGGGAGGAAGATACGGCCTGGGAAAAGCTGGAGCAGGTCCATTGAAATCAGGGCCTGGCAGCTTCCCTGGCTTCAAGGCTCTGTTTTCCCACAGATAAAAAAAACAACCAGGAAATATGTGTGTTTTCATTGACTCTAACAACCATTAAGCCTTGACCGCACCTTGAACTCTCCCTGGGAAACTTTATCCCAGTCTCCATAAATCCTAGTCTCTGCCAGGGGGACTCAAGGATGAGTAGTTTTTAAAGCTGCCCAGATTATTTCATTGTACAACCACACGTCAGAACAATGGATCTAATACAAAGGCTTTCTGTCTCCTCAACCATCTATTCAGATGAAGAATACAGGATTTACGTAGCTAGTAAATACATTAAGATGCTTCACATATAAAAGCGGAGAGAGCTCAGTTGATAAAGTGCTTGCCATGCAATCACGAGAATCTAAGTTAGATCCCAAGAACCACATAAAAACCCAGTTGCCGATGGCAGGGACGGGTGTCTTCTCTACAGGGGTACCCTGAGACTACCAAAACAATACAAGCATTTGCCGCAAAACTACATGGTAAGAGCCTGTTACTAAAGACACCAAATGCTGTTCTCATAGGACTGGTTGGAGGAAGTGTGTCACCGTGGGGGAGGGCTTTGAGATTTCCCATGCTCAAGCTCTGTTCAGTGGAGATATCCAGTCCTTGTCTGCTGTCTGTGGATCAAGATGTAGAACTCTGGGCTCCTCCAGCACCATGTCTGCCTGCGTGCTGCCATGCTCCCGCCATGATGATAGGGGACTAGCGCTCTGAAACCGTACGCCTGCCCTAGTTTTTCTTTGTAAGAGTTGCGTTGGTCATGGTGTCTCTTCACAGCAATGGAGACCCTAACTAAGACACCCACCAACATTTTATCATAGTGAAGGAGGGTCGCATGAGGCCCCACTGCTCTCTGAAGATCCTTGCAGTGAGACACTACCTCAAGAGCCAATAACAATGGAAGAATGAATACAGAAAATGTGACATATAGACACAATGGAAAATTTAAAGATTCGTTTTCATTTTATGTGTATAACACATTCCTGCATGTATGTACCTGCACACTGAATGTGCAGTGCTGGAGAAGGCCTGAAAGGGGCACTGGATCCCTGGAACTCGAGTAATATACACACTGCAAGCTATAATGTGAGTGCTGGGAACTGAACCAGGGTCCTCTGTAAAGAGGAACTGTGTACTTCACCTCAGAACCATCTCTCCGCTGCCCA